ATCGCGCGTCGAAGTATACGTCTGTTTCTTTCCAGCCATCCTCATTTTTTTTTTCTTTTGGTGAACTATGCTTATCTTGTACACGCGAGATGTTGTGCGCCACGACAGTTCTTTCCTGCCCGGCTAGCTCAGTCGGTAGAGCATGAGACTCTTAATCTCAGGGTCGTGGGTTTAAGCCCCATATTGGGCGCTGTTTTTTCCCGAGTCTCCCCATGTTACATTGCGCGTCGAAGTATACGTCTGTTTCTTCCTAGCTATCTTCTTTGTTTTGTTTTGGTGAACTACGCTGATCTTGTACACACGTCATGTGCGCCAAGGCAGTACCTGCGTGCCCGGCTAGCTCAGTCAGTAGAGCATGAGACTCTCAGGGTCGTTGGTTCGAGCCCCACGTTGGGCGGTGTTTTTCCCTAGTATTCCCATGTTACAGCGCGCGTCGAAGTATTTGTCATTTTTTTCCAGCCATCCTCGTTTTTTTTCTTTTGGTTAACTATGCTGATCTTGTACACACGAGACGTTCTGCGCCAGGTAGGTTACTGCGTGCCCGGCTAGCTCAGTCGGTAGAGCATGAGACTCTTAACCTCAGGGTCGTGGGTTCAAGCCCCACGTTGGGCACTGTTGTTTCCCGAGTCTTCCCATGTTACATCACGCGTCGAAGTATACGTCTGTTTCTTCCGAGCCATCCTCTTTCTTTTTCTTTTGGTGACCTATGCTGATCTTGTACAAACGTGATGATTTGCGCCAAGCCAGTTTCTGCGTACCCGACTAGCTCAGTCGGTAGAGCATGAGACTCTTAATTTTGTGGTTGTGGGTTCGAGCACCACGTTGGGCACTGTTTTTTTCAGAGTCTTGCCATGTTACATCGCGCGTCAAAGTATACGTCTGTTTCTTCCCAGCCATCCTCGTTTTTTTTTTCTTTTAGTGAACTATACTTATCTTGTACACACGAGATGTGCGCCACGACAGTTCTTTCGTGCATGGCTAGCTCAGTCGGTAGAGCATGAAACTCTTATTCTCAGGGTCGTGGGTTTTAGCCCCATATTGGGTGCTGTTTTTTCCCGAGCCTTCCTATGTTACAACGCGCGTCGAAGTATACGTTTGTTTCTTCCCAGCAATCCTCGTTGAGCCTTGTTGAGCGTTCTTTTGGTGAACTATGCTGATCTTGTACACACGAGATGTTGTGTGCCAAGTCAGTTCCGGCGTGCCTGGCTAGCTCAGTCGGTGGAGCATGTGACTCTTAAACTCAAAGTCGTGGGTTCGAGCTCCACGTTGGGCGCTGTTTTTTTTCTCGAGTCTTCCTATGTTACATCGCGCGTCGAAGTATACGTCATTTTCTTCCCATCCATCCTCGTTTTTTTCTTTTGGTGAACTATGCTGATCTTGTACACATGAGATGCTGTGTGCCAAGTCCCTGCGTACCCGGCTAGCTCAGTCATTCTTCTTCCGGCAGCGCAAGCGAACGGTCGTAAATTCATGAGCTCCGACCGCGGAAAGAAGAATGATGGTGCGGATGATAAGGGCAACGAGATCGTGCTACCTACGTTGCCCACCGGCCATGTTGTACTGAACACATTGTTTTTGCATGGCGACGTGTGTGAAAGGCCCTACAGAGTCGAGGATTTGCGGGACACCCGCGCATCAGTTGGCGTGCTTCCTGACGTCGTGGCGTTAGGCGCATACCAAATTAACCACGTCTGGGCGGTGACCTTGAACGCCAGTGAAGCCACCAAGAAACTGGCTGCGCTTAAGGAACTGAAAGTGAAAGGCCGCCGGTGTATCATCTTGGATCCAGAAGACCAGCAAGTAAAGCTTCGCCTCCACTGGATGCTTCACGGCGTCCTGGACGAAGATATTCGCACGGTTTTTGCGGCCTTTGGCAACGTCACCGAGGTGACTCGAGAGCGTTGACGGGTCCACGGTATGAAGGAGAAGGGCTCAACCACAAGAACCGTCCTGCTGAAGTTGAAGCCCAGATACAAAGTGGAAGACCTTCCCCACCAAGTCCGAGTTGCAGGGGAGTTGGCCCTCGTTGTGGTGCCCGGACGAGCTATGCAGTGCATACGATGTCATGGCACGGGACACGTCCACCGATACTGCAAGGTGCCCCGGTGCTCCAAGTGCCGCCGTAATGGGCATGTGGACGAGGACTGCGTACGCACCTAGCGTCGGCGACAGGACAGTGCAAGGCGGACTACCGGGAGGAAATGATGGATGTCGTCGAAGCAGCGGAGGCGGCTCGGGGCACCGACGAGGCCACAAAGCAGGCCGGACCTCGAGACTCGTTCGCGCCTTTCTGCGGTGAAGCCCCGAAAAGGAACACCCCGGCGGACCAAGAAGCGCAAGGCGACTGGACAAGGTCTGTCAACCAGCCGGTGGCACAGGCTCTGCCTGCGCCTTTGACAGTCGACACCGGCAAGGGTCACACACTAACCCTCCCAGTAGTGGCGGGCCACACATTCATGTCATTCGTTGTGACGGTGAAAGCCCCCGAAAACTCCCCAGCACCCTAAGTCGGCGAGCGCAAGGATGCCAACGAGCTACCCCTTGAGAAGAGTGGCGTTCAAGCACCGACCAACGTCGCCGCGGCTCCCAAATGCCCCCAACCCCCAGTAGCAATGACAGTATTGAAACGGCCACGCCTGGGCTCGAGGAACCACCAGCAAAGACTTTGCAAGGACGGTGGCCGCATATTCGACCGCGTCCCAACATTCCGGCTGATAAGCGCGGCGGCGACGTCGAGCCAGTCGGGCAGTCAACAGCTTCGCCGGACGGCACCGCCGGCGAGGGTACGGTCTAGCCATAGGCTAGACGCGAATGGTGAGCACAATGCTGCCAGTTGCCTTTCTTATCTTCAAAATTGCGCCTGCTTTCCGTTGAACCTCACCACTCAACGTCAGAAGACTGGCAGGCAAACGAAAACAAAGCCAGCTTTACCGTCTCGTAATGGAGCACGACATTGACGTGTTAGCGGTACAGGAAACGAAAGTTGATGGCGATGCAGAGATGGGCAGCATGGTGCAACTGTTTGTGTCAAGGTTTTTTAATGTAGTTAGCCACGCGGTTGGCACATCGGCTGGCTGCGTACTTTTTGTTAAAAAGTTGCCTGGGCTTGAAGTGAACGCCCATTTTTCGTGTGAAGCAGGTCGATGTGCTGTTCTTGACTTAGCTCTGAATAACACCGAGTGGCGGGTTGTGTGCGTGTACGCGCCCAACAGGGTTGAAGAAAGGGCACAGTTTTTTCTCGGCCTTGAGCAACACCTCTGTGTGGGAAAGAAATTACAAATGCTGGGCGATTTTAATTGCCTCCTGAGTGCACACCACAAAACAAGCAGTCGGGGTTACAGAGATAGAAGTACCAACATCTTGACTAATGTAACGAGGTTTATTGGGCGAACCAAACGGGCAGGTGAGAGATTCGAGAAAGCCACAGGACGAGGAAGATGGAGGAGCTCGAGCGCCGATCTCGTGGTGCCTTACTCTGCGATGATGCTTGCTGTTCCCTTTTGTTGTCATCATTCCTTCATTATAATTGGCCCCGTCGAGAAAGATCAAGCCATCCTGGCGATCTAATAGGTGGGAACGAGCGGGTCGAAGTACGGCTTCAAGCGGTCCACGTGAACAATATCGTGTCCACGCCGACGATGGTCACCGGTTGGCGTAGGCGGTTCAATGGCGGAATTGACGGGCGATGTGCGCTCAACCACGCGGTATGGACCATGGTAATTTGAAAGTAGCTTGGTAGACAAACCAGGTTCACAGGGTTGTACATACCGCCATACAAGGGCTCCAGGGGCAAACTTCGCGGCAGGAGGGTGGTCGTCATCGCGGGCCTTTTTCTGGCGTTGCTAGTCAGCCGTAGTTAACTGCTTCGCTAGTTGGCAGCATTCTTCGGCGTGACGGGCGGCTTCAGACACGGTCGTGCACTCAGATACATCTGGTGCGTATGGCAGCAAAGTGTCAATTGTGTACGATGGTTGACATCCGTATAGAAGGTAGAATTGAGAAAAGCTGGTGGTGACTTGGGTAGCGGTGTTGTACGCGTAGGTCGCAAACGAAAGAACCAGGTCCCAGTTCGTTTGGTCAGATGCCACATGCGTCGCGAGCAAGTCACCCAGGGTCCAATTAAACCGCTCAGTCAGGCCATTCGTCTGAGGGTGATAAGCAGTACTCATCCGGTGTACAATATGGCCCTGACGGAGAAGTGCTTGGATTGCGTCAGATAGAAATACATGGCCATGGTCACTGAGGAGCTCGCGAGGAGGGCCGTGACGCAACAAAAACCGATGGAGGATGAAAGATGCGACGTCCTGAGCGGTCGCCGTAGGAAGAGCAGCGGTTTTGGCGTACCGTGTCAGGTGATCTACACCAACGATAGCCCACCGGTTACCTGCTGTGGTCAATGGCAGTGTTCCATAAAGGTCGATTCCGACGCGATCGAATGGGGGCTCAGGGCACGCAAGCAGCTGTAGTGGAGCTGCTCCTGCATTCGGTGGCTATTTTCGTCGCTTACACTCGTGGCAGCCGCGAATAAACTGTCGAACAAAAGTAAGCATCCCACGCCAGTAGTACCGCTTCCTTAAACGTTTGTAGGTCTTGAAGACACCGGCGCGAGCGCATTGCGGGTCAGACTGAAATGATGCACAGATTATAGAGCGCAGCTTTCGGGGAATAACGAGCAGCCACTTCCTGCCGTCTGGTGAGTAATGTCGCCGGTACAAGAGGCCACCTCGAATGGTGAAGTGCGAAGCCTGGCGTCGCATTGCTCGAGTGATGGGAAGTGTCGGTACCCCAGATAAGACGTCCAGAAGCGAAGTTATCCATGGATCATTGAGCTGTGTAGAGGTCATTGTGTCGATGTCAAGAGCGGACAGCGCGTGTTTCATAGAAGATATTGCCACAAGGCAGTAGTGGGATTGGGGCATAAAGCAGTAGAGGGTCCCAGACTGAAAGAAAAGACTACGAAGTGGATAGAGACTGGTTCCAGCCCGCCAGTGCGCCAGGCATTGTCATCACGTGTAATCGTTGTAAATATCTGTAAATATACGTTTTCTTGTAAGATTATTGGTGGAGGTGCGGGGTACGCCTACCTCTGGCTTTTCCGGCAAACCAACACGGAACTTCGGAGTGGTCGCCACCTTCATTTTCCTGCAATGGCTCAACAGGCCCACCCACAAGAGCAACAGCAGCCGCAGCTGCAGCAGCAGCAGCACCAGCACCAGCACCAGCAGCACCAGCACCAGCAGCACCAGCACCAGCACCAGCAGCAGCAGCACCAGCTGCCTCCTCTGATTCTCCTGCCTCCACGAGACCCCGGAACCTTCTCGGGCACAGGCAAGGACAAGGTGAATGTTGAAGATTGGGTCGCTTTGTACGAGCGCGTGAGCGAATACTATAGGTGGGACCCTACATTGATGCTGGCCAACGTTGTATTTTACTTGCGGGATACGGCGCTCACCTGGTATGAGACGCATGAGTCGGAGTTGACCAGCTGGGACGTTTGCAAATTGAAGCTTCTCGAGTTATTCAGCAGGCCATTTGGGCGACAGCAGGCCGCGAGGAAAGACCGGGAATGTCGCGTGCAGACATCGACGGAATCGTATGTATCTTACATACAGGACGTATTGGGCCTCTGTCGAAAGGTGGACGAGAACATGAGCGAAACTGACAAAATCGCTCACATATTGAAGGAAATTGCCGATGACGCCTTCAATTTGTGGATCGTTAAAGATTGCGCCACCGTCGACGTGGTTGTGAAGGAGTGTCAGCGCTTCGAGCACGCCAAGAACCGTCGCATAACCCGCCAGTTTGCGCGTCTGCCTAATACTGCAGCCA